CTGTGCGGCTTCTTAGCACAATGGCCTTCATGCTTCTTATGGCATTCCTCCACATGTAGATTTATTACAGAAATTACTAATCTTTTGAGCCATGCACGACTTATTATCAATAAGGACTGAAAAAATAAATTTGATAAGAATCAAATCGTAGTAGCCAAATTTCGGGCTGTAAAGGATTAAGCATGGATTAGCATAGGCGATTCCTTAATGTTAAAATCAGTTCTATCAAAACCACTTACAGTATGAAAATGTGGCTTGTTGACACAGTGTCCAGTGTCTACGAGGTCTAGTTTGAAATCCGGGGGGGGGATGGGGTACCGGGTTCGATTCCCCTAGAGGCAAACTTGGTCTTATTCATGAATTCCCTCGATCAAGGAATTTGCCAAGCATTGCTCCACACAAAGGTTACTCAGTTTGTAGAACATTAAACACACAATGTATGTGTTCTGAGTTCAAGCTCTAATCAATGTCACTCGCCCTTTTATATTCTGAGGCTGAATAATGAGTATCACTCCTGGAAAGAAAACAGCAGGCTACACTCTACGCTTTCCGCATTGCCGTAGACTCCGGCTTTAAAATGGGGGGACTAACAGCAGATGGCTCAGAAACGGAGATCAGCGCCACACTCTCAACTTCATGAAAAGAAGGGTGCGAAAACGACCCAGTCATGAAAGTGAAGGTAGCTCAACATTCCACGGTGGAAAGCTTTTGTTTTCAAACAGTATGACATCGCATGATGTTTTCATAGCATGCACAGTCTCAAACGTTTTTGCACATGACTGCACATGTATCAGTTTCAATGGGTGGCAGCAGAAAGACAGGTTTATATAAATTATTATTAATAACAGGACAAGAAGCAACATAACATGAAGGCAACAACGTGTTCGAGTACGAACTAATTTTTCATTACCCGTATTCAAGCATATAAGCAGAACTTGACTGCAAAATTCTGTAGTTATAAATAAAAGTACCAATGGAGGAATTTTAATTATATCAGGTATAATATCATCCGTTTTGATTACCATTAGGAACGATATTATCAAGTAGCGTGGCAGAGGCGTCAGACAGAGTGTTTACCGGTCCCTATCCTGTGAAAGCGTTCGAGCTTCGGCAGAAGATGACTTAAATATGGAGCATAGCATGTAGAGAAACCTCCTTAGGTAATTCTTTGTCGTCC